TTATTTTCACTCCAAAATTAATGCCCAAAATTGCGAATTTTCGCGTAGGATAATCCCACAAAAAAAAAATTTTCCGGCAGAAATGACTGATGCTGGCAGAAAGACCCAAGCCTTGACTATACCCGAGTAAATTATAAAGAAAATTCTAGTACTGTAATTTCTAAACAGTCCACGGCGCGAGGGGTTGCAAATCCACCCCTACGAAGCCGCAGAGCGAAAACTAGGTCAAACGGGCGGATTACACTTGGCGCGCAAGGATACCCGGAAGTAAGGTTCGGAGCCAAAAGAAATTTTCACCCCAAAATCACCATTTCTTACACTCTTCAGCCATGTTAATGTTTAATGATACTTCGTGGCAGTTTATAGGAAATGTCACCTCAAACTTGGACCCTCAAAACCCTTTCGTCACTTTTTTACAACGGACTATCGCGGACCCCTGTCGCGGAAGAACTGGGGTGTGCACCGTTAATTAAGCCAAATTTTAATTAACATTGTTTTTTAATTAACTATGTCATAGTCTATCATCGTGCCAAGTTTGAGTTTTCTGCGACTTTTCCTTCCCGAGTAACAGGTGGTTGAAAGTTACCCTGTCGGGAGGCTCATTTTGCGCTTCCACGGGTGTGTTCCATTCACGCACATAATGGGAATTACGTCACAATGGTCCGTTCCTTTGGAACGGGCTTTAGCGCATTAAACCATGCTAAATAAACAGGTTTTGCCATGTAAAGGAATGCTAGAGGGCTGTTCTTGTGATGGAGTAGGTTTTCCTTCTAGTTCTGACTGAAATAAACGGTATAAACCACCCAGAATGTAGTTTAGCTGATGACGTCACAATGCCCTCCTCTAGCCGAACTTTTTAAGTGAGATCGCTATGGTTTTAAGTTCTGTACGTTGACAGGAAGCAGTTGATATTAAAATTTTTGGTCATACCCGGTAGAGAACAAACCATGAGATCTTACCCAAGTGTTTCCGCTGCGGAGATTCATTTTGTTTTGTAGGAAAACGAAGCTTATTGGATATTTGGTTAGATTGTAGGCCTGTGGCGTCCTTCTAGCAGCTAGGACGGTATAAATGGCCATCTGCTGAGAGAAGCCTGTACAGTTTGGTGTCGGTCTCGATGAGATATAAAAGCAGGAGGATGTATCTTCGGATTATTGCAACTTATTTGTCTGAAAGTTGAAACCTCGTGATAGGCCGAACTTGAAACTAGATTTGACCGGAAAGTAGGGGAATGACGTCATCATGGCCTTTTTTAAATTAAAAACGTCTCCTCCTTAATGCAGGAGCGCCTGGCACACGTACATACGCAGTTTCCAGGTGCCCCGGGGGTAGGGCAATGCAAATAATGAAATCGCGGTAGATATGACGTCATCGATCTTTAGTAGACACACTTCGATGTCGGTTTGACCGTGTTCAAGGGGGGGGGGGCGTGGGGAGGGGGGCAAATCAGCGCATTATATGACATTCTATAATCATATTAAAACTTGCGAAATCCAAAATTTTTTCGCCTTGATTGGGTAAAGGATATACACTTTACTGGATGAAATGCAATTTGTTGGGTGCCATAGCTAATCTTTTTTGAAGGACGGGCCTGTTTAAGGGGGCACACCCCAGTTTATTTGGGGCCTCTATTCGAAGCTGCACACTCTCTGGCGTGGAATAATTCGGAAGGAGAATAACTGTATATGGGACGAAAGGATATCTCTTCAGCTACAAGACAAGCTGAGTTTGGTTTCTTCAACCTTTTCAAGTTTGGTAAAATCAACGGAAAAAACATTATTTTCACTCCAAAATTAATGCCCAAAATTGCGAATTTTCGCGTAGGAAAATCCCACAAAAAAAATTTTCCGGCAGAAATGACTGATGCTGGCAGAAAGACCCAAGCCTTGACTATACCCGAGTAAATTATAAAGAAAATTCTAGTACTGTAATTTTCTAAACAGTCCACGGCGTTAGGGGTTGCAAATCCACCCCTACGAAGCCGCAGAGCGAAATCTAGGTTAAACGGGCGGATTACATTTGGCGCGCAAGGATACCCGGAAGTAAGGTTCGGAGCCAAAAGAAATTTTTACCCCAAAATCACCATTTCTTACACTCTTCAGCCATGTTAATGTTTAATGATACTTCGTGGCAGTTTATAAGAAATGTCACCTCAAACTTGGACCCTCAAAACCCTTTCTTCACTTTTTTACAACGGACTATCGCGGACCCCTGTCGCGGAAGAACTGGGGTGTGCACCGGTAAACTGGCCCAAAGTCTAAGATCCTGATTTCAGGTGTCAGTTTGAGAAAACTCACACTGTCAGTGATCTTGGTGGCCTCCTCGTAAGTGGGCAGCTTGGCTGCCACCTCCGAATAGGGGGGAGGGGCGGGCTGGGCACTGGCATCAAGTCTGTCTTCTTCATGGTCTGTAAAAACATAGCACATGTATTACATATCTACAAGTCAAACTCTTCAGTTAAGTCTACAATTTGATTTCTAGTATGAAGCAGGAGCAGTAAGGGGGCACACCCCAGTTTATTTGGCGTCTCTATTCGAAGCTGCACACCCTCAAATCTAACGACCGTCTCTGCTGTGGAATAATTCTTGGAAAATAACTGTATATGGGATGAAACGATATCTCTTCAGCGACAAGACCAGCTGAGTTTGGTTTCTTCAACCTTTTTAAGTTTGGTAAAATCAACGGCAAAAACATTATTTTCACTCCAAAATTAATGCACAAAATTGCAAATTTTCGCATAGGATAATCCCATAGAAAAAATTTTCCGGCAGAAATGACTGATGCTGGCAGAAAGACCCAAGCCTTGACTATACCCGAGTAAATTATAAAGAAAATTCTAGTACTGAAATTTTCTAAACAGTCCACGGCACAAGGGGTTGCAAATCCACCCCTACAAAGGCACAGAGCAAAATCTAGGTCAAACGGGCGGATTACACTTGGCATGCAAGGATACCCGGAAGTAAGGTTCGGAGCCAAAAGAAATTTTCACCCCAAAATCACCATTTCTTACACTCTTCAGCCATGTTAATGTTTAATGATATTTCATGGCATTTTATAAGAAATGTCACCTCAAACTTGGACCCTCAAAACCCTTTCTTCACTTTTTTACCACGGACCCCGGTCGCGGAAGAACTGGGGTGTGCACCGGTCCGTACCTGACTCATCAGGAGTTCCTGGCTGGGTCTCTGCAGGTGAAGGTGGGGGGACGATCAGGGCCACGGTCAGCGGTCTGGACATCTCCACACTACCCTCACACTCCTCCTCATTGGTCAACTGTGCACACATGGAAGGCAGGGCTCAAAATACTTTCCTTTCGGTTACATCCATGTACATGTACAAAATTGCCAGATAATTCAGCCTTTAGTCTTCCATCGTTTCCCGAGACGAAAGGATGCCAACAAGTCTTCTCATGATATACAACATTAACAACAAGATATGTACTACTAGTAAGAAAATTTCCACATCCACACCACATCCTTATGAGAATACTTGAGAAAAATCATCCAGGAGAATAGGAAACACCCTACATTTCAAAATGAGTATAGCAGCGCAGTGATAGTAACATAGCAGCACAGTCTGAATATAACACTGTCACATGATATATGAATTGCATGATCAAAATACTTTTACACGTCAATCTTGAAAATCACATGCAAATTGCAGAAAGAAGGAATGACTCCCCCCTCCTGCCTGAAGGAATGACTCCCCCCTCCTATTCAAAACAACAGTATGTTTGTGGCCAGTCCCAAATGCCATTTAAATGTAGGGGTGCTTCAGAAATATTAAAATAACCATGAAAACAGCTATGGTAAAAATAAAAATATGGGCATCATCACAGGCATGCAGACGATATATAAAATTACATGCCGATTTCACAAAGGGAACCCTGTATTTTAGCTGCAAACACGAAAAACCAACTGACCACAATACTCCTGCAGGAGGGATACCTCCTTCACGGAGTAATAAGATAAAGCTTGAACTGTTTAAATGCCCAATATGTGCTGCACAACCATATTTTGTTTGGCTCCATGCACAACCCACTGGGACAAGTTTCCTAAATGAGGGCATTAATTTCAATGATATACTTGTGCTGCCTTTCGATAATTTTTTTCACTATAATTTGATGGGGGAGGGGAAACCTGTCAGTCACTTCCGAGATACGTAACGTTATGTATAACATAATTTACTAGACAGTATATCCTGAACCCTTTCTGTGGGTCATGGCGATTCCCAATCTAATGACGTGTGTAAATCATGACTAGTAGCAACACACCACTCTATCCAAACATATCCAAACGTGTAAGAAAAGTTGAGCTACACTTCAAAACGACATCAAACATGTCTGGTGAAAAATATATGCTGAAAAATCTCCTTCTGACTGACAGCGCAACGCTAAACCTTGCCTTGACACAAATGCTCAAAAACAAAAAGGAACTGACCGGTTGGTACCTAGTTCCCCTGTCCATGCTCACTGGAAGATGCACCCGGTCAGTAGGGTTACAACTCTTGGCTAAACAAAGCTCAGAGTTCTTCCAAATTCAAGACAATTGTCGGCAGAATCTAATGTTGCCTGCAACAAGATGGCCGACAAATAAACACGGTGACCTTTCACCTTTCATGCCTTCCACACACTTTCCAACATTGCACCTGATTGGTTTGTCTTGTGAGTTAGCTCCTAAAAGAGCCAATAAGACACGATCTATCATAGTGCTGACATTACGCATCAAGGTGCAATATCACAAGTGTGTGTGTCGACTATTACGCAAGAATCAAATTTTATTACCTCCATGAAAAATGGAGGTATTGTTTTTGGCGCGTCTGTGTGTGTGTGTGTCACAGTGTGTGTGTGTGTGTGTGTGTGTGCGCGCGCGCGTGTGGTTCAGCACATTTGTACACTACGATGGTCAGCATAACTTCATAACGCCTTTAACGTTACTATGGATTGTGATGATATTTGGTATGCTGGTAACGTTAAGTCTTGGGAAGACGAAGGTCAAGGTCAAATATGGGCCTCCTGATGGATGACCTTGGTACTGCAGCAGAACTTCCGTTTTTTTTTTAATCTTTTGTCCTGAACATGCTATGGTCTTGATTTTTTGGTGACAGATAGCTTTTCCTGTCAGGAATAAGTAGTGTGGGTTTGGTCCCCCTAGCAGCTTGTTTTGGAACTGCAGGGGACTTTCGGGCAAAATCTTTAAAAGCCAATAGGTCCAGATAGGAACAGCGTACTAGTATTTTCATCATTTTTAGTATATAATTAATGTGAAAATTCTGTGACTCATTATTGGTGAATGATGTGAATTTTTTACCTTGTGACATGTGTAAGTTACGTAAAGGTTAACACCACTATGCATATATTATGCTAATGTAGAGGTCATTTGCATAATTATTGAGGACATGTTGAAATGCAGCATGACAAAGGAGAAAAATTTTACAAGAAAAATATTGTCATTTGAATTTAGAAAACCATAACGGGGGGTGCCCTAATTCCGACCTACCCCTATTTCCGTACGTTTGAAAAATCCTTGTTGCGGCGTTATGCATGGGAGCACGTGCCTAAAAATAACCACAAGAATGGACAAAGTCTTTGTGTTGATAACGGTAATCTCACAAAGTTTGTTTTTGTTCAACAGACGAGTGAAAAATCAGTTTGAATTTGACGCTTGTTCAGCGAGGGTTGACGAGCGTGTCAATAATGCTGGTTTTGATTTTGAAACAGCCGCTTTGGAGCAAGTCGCGTAATCGTAAAAAGAGGACTTGTTTGGGACAGAAAACAGTTGTAGATTGTTTTAGTCATAATTTGTGTATTATGATTTCTAAACTCTCTTCTCAGATCGACCTGTGTTTAAAAACACTATGTCGGAATTAGGGCACCCCTATTGCGATAGAACGTTCCACCGGCAAAATGACCAAAGACCTGCCGTGAGTTTCGTTAACCATTACGCTTGGGTGCAAGGCGCTACACTGAAGTGAAATACACAGCTGTGCAGCTTTAATCGTTGTTGTCTTTATCAGTCAATATTATAGCTCATGTTGCGCGGGTTTTTGGTCAGATAAACTATTACCAAAGGTATGCGCGTCGGAAGGTCGGAATTAGGACCCCTTCCGTTAAATAAAACTAGATTATGGAGCCGCTTTGGAGCAAAATTACGACCTTATTTCCATAGTCAATGAGACAAATTAAAAAAAAAACATTTACAAAAACTCATATATTTCATGGAGGTATGAGATCTCCGAATTCTTGTTTCTTTTCGCATAGAACTACTAGAGGTTTATGTTTGTACGTGTGGATGTATGAAAGTGATATTTACATAATGACGTATTTGGATGACAATTATGCCAATCAGGATCTAATTTGCGTGGTCAATGATTCTTCTGCGTCTCGTGACAGGGCATGCTAGCACGGATATTTACCTTCGTTACCTTCGCCAAGAAGGTGTTTTAATGGGCGTTCGTGTGGCTCTCTCTCTCTCTCTCTCTGTGTGTGTGTGTGTGTGTGTGTGTATTTGTGAACACGATAACTCGAGAAGGCTTTGATGAATTGTCTTGATATTTGGTAGGTGGGTAGGCCTTGATGAAACCTCGACATGATTACTTTTTGGGCCCCCTGGCGGCTTGTCATGGTACTGCAGCTGAACTTCCTGTTTTCATATCTCATGATCTGGACATGCTAGGGTCACGAAATTTAGATGGTAGATGGCTCTTGTGCTGGGGAAGAATTGACATGAGTTTGAGCCCCCTAGCTGCCTGCTCTGTAACTGCAGTTGCATTTGTTGAAAAATGTTTAAAGGAGGATAACTCAAGAACCTATTGATGAAGTCTCCACCAGACTCCTTTTGCCTAAAAAGCTTAGGGGAATATTAATTGGCAAGAGGAGTTTCCCGGCTATCGGGGGTCCAATTGGCCAATTCTTGAGTTATCCAGTCAAACCTACAAAGCGGCCAAACTCCCCCGGCAAATATTCTCCTATATACTAGTATAGCCAGCGTAGTTAGTCTCGTACAGACTACAGTCGCACACCTGGCCAAGCCGCTACTCTTTTTGAAAGGTGTGATCATCCTGTACTCTCCAAGCAGAGGTTTGGGTTTGGGTTTATTTTTGGCGTGGTTTTAGCCTTTTTTATCGGGGTTTCTCTTTTGCACTGAAATTTTTTTCACCCAACCAAATGTTTTTTTTTTTTGGGGGGGGTCTCTTTTGCACTAGACTTAAAAAAATTCCAGTGCAAAAGAGAAACCTCGATAAAAAAAGCCTAAAAACACGCCAAAAATAACCCCAAACCTCTGCTTGGAGACGGTAATCATAGCGGGGGCGCCCACTGACTGTGCTTGTGTCAATCTGGCGCGTGCCTGGGCGGGTCGCACATCGGCGCGCTAATTTCATGGGTGTGAAAAACGGTTTTGAGGCGTGCTGTGCCCCTCCCCTTGACGTGCCCGGTGACGTGCTCATTCCCGGACTTTGGGCGGCATGGGCGGGGAGCAACGGATGTACAGATCGCAAACGTAGGTTTACTGCTTCTTCGAGCTGTTGTTGACAGTGCAGGCCGTTGGTGGCACAGATTAACAGAGGGCGTCTCGTCCAAAAGTGCAAAAAAAAAAAGACGCAAGAATCAACGTGACAGAAGCTAATGTAATTCCCCAATTTCTTTTAGAATTCCAAACATATACCGAAGATTAAACCCTTTCCCCTCACAATTGGATCTTAATGGGAATATGGAACAAGCTGAAGATTTCTTGGGGATGCAGCAGCCTGATGGATATAGTTACTAGAAGATTCTTCCAACATTCGTCTATTAAATTTGATTTTCATTTGTACATGTAGAGTCTCCAGCAAACACCACATAAGCTCACTATCACACCATGGAGGTAAAAATCACCTCCATCATCCATGATCACACTGTAGGACCGAGTCCTTCCTCCAGGAGTGGAGGAAACATGGCCGGCATGTCTCAGCCACCTCAGAGCAGCCACAGGAAGATGCAAGACCTTCGTGAGAAAATGGTCAATGGCTTTGCTGACCATCATTGACATTGATAAAAACATTGACACAACTCAAGTCAGGCCATCCCACTCATTTGGTTAAATTTCTCCCAACATTTCCATTCTAACCCAAAGTCCTTATGGTCTAAGTCAGTCTGAAAGACTTACTTAAGGCCACACCAATTTAATTTGTTGCTTCTCGGATCGCCCTGTCCATTTTTTTCTGATTTGCAAAAAAAAATTTTTCAGTTCTAAATTACTTGCAAAATGCTCAATGAAAGAAATATTTTGGCCCCAACAGTTGAAGACAGTCCTTTTCTCCCTAGTTCTTAAAGTTTTTCAATGTAACAATGCAATTTTGTTTCATTGAAAGTTCAAAATCTATTGTTTATTTATAAACCAGCCTGGTATGTTGACTTCATGGCTCATATTGTAACATTTCTGGCTAATTTTTATTTCCCCCCGTCGCTCCAATTTTTTTCTGAAAAATCCGAAAAACAACAAATGAAAACCCTTGTCCTGCTGTGGGCAACATATGTCGCGTAGCACATACAGTACCATCTATATAGCACCCTGCATAGGTACGATTTGGGGGTATTTCTCGTGCAACGCATCACACCGCAGCGAAACGCAACGAATGCGGAAGTATAACTATGCCACTGCAGGGCAAAAAAAATTGAGGGTCTATGATCTAATTAAGACATGAAAATATTGAAAAATATTGTGACAGGAATGCCAGCAGGACAAGGGTTAGTGGCCTAAACACAGCATATAGTATGTTTTCAGTGAGCTCAGAATCAAATATAAAAACATTTATGTCATTTGAGTTATAAGGTTGAGAAAACTGGAATATTCCATGTTATCCATGTGGAAAGTTCTTTATTTAGTTGGAACAGAAATATGTACATCTAACAAAGGATGACATGTTCTTACATATGTCTTCAGTTGATCATGATGTATTAGAACAATCGTAAGAGAGAAGAAACGTGTAAAGCATAGATGAAGATTGAACATAGCATAGTTTTCCTATTCCTTATTTGTACTGAATTGTAGCTAATGTACTGCATTTAGCCCAACTTCATTGTCATTGTTATTGTCATTTATCAAGACTCTTATATACATTTGATGGCAACACCTGTGTCTATATGAGGTCTGCTTAACAGAAAAAAAATATCTCTCTGATGCCATTTGCCACATCTGAATAATTGACAGTCACTGTAGAATGAAAACCACAGCTACGAAGGACAAAAACTGCTTCATAATGATATTTCAGCAACAGCATCAAAAATGACATGCCAACTGGTAAAAGCTGAACGTGAACATATGCATGTCAGTTTCAGAACAATGGTTATAGAAAGTGGTAAGTAAATTTTATTGCAGTCATTCAATAAAGCATGCTATTTCTGACATTTTAACAGATTTTCTTTTCTTGCTGGAATATAAACAAAAGAACTGCAAGCTTGGCACACATATTATCCTCTTCTGTAACAACATTGTTATGTACAACAGTCTTAACACATTCTTGTAATAAAGTACCTTTTCATCATAACAAAGGTGTTAAAAGTCAAGTTACAACTTAACAGCAATAATGTTGATTACATAAGCTAGAGCATATTTTGTTTAAGCCACACCAATTTAATATGTTGGTTCACAGATTTGCCTGCTTCACTTCTTTCTGATTTGAAAAAAAAAATTCAGCCTTTGAATCAACTCCAACATGCTCACATTTTGGCTCCAACAGTTGAAGGAAGTCCCTTTCCTTCAGACTTGTTACAGTTTTTCAATCTACCAATGAAGTGGTTTCATTACATTAGTTTGAAATTTATTGTTTGAATTATAAACCACCACTGCATTTGGGGCTATCATAGATGCCTAGGTCTGTTTTTAATTCTATTTTTCTGTAAAAATCTTAGAACCAACAAATCAAATTGATGTGGCCTCATGACACATCCAAGTTTTTACAGTTGCACTACTGCTGAAGAAGGGCAGTAGCTGGATCTTCCTTCAGGCCAGGCCTGACTAAGGAGGGCTTCCCCATCTGACTAACATTGATCTCTTTGAAGGCGACTGTTCGACTTGCCACTGGTTCCAGAGATTTAGGTGGTGGTTGGGGCACTTTCGCTGAAACAAACAAATTGAATTAACCTCATGTCAACAGGCACAAATTAACTATATGAAGATGTAATCTTGAAAGTTCATCTGTGTTGATTTTTGAAGTCATTATGAAACAATTAAAAGTGCTTTTAAATTAGTGCTTTCAACTTCTCAAGGTTCTCAGGTATATGAATTTTGACCACATTGTTTTGGGATAATTCCCATATATTAACATAGGAAAGCCCTATTACTGTGCTGTGCCCTTTAGTTACCTTTCTGTGACTGCAGCCCAGGATACTCCACTCCTGCCTGGGTAACTGTGTCCATAGGTGCAATGCGGACAGCAAGTTCACCTATGCTGGGCTGGATGTCAAAACGGACTGCAAAGGGACGAATGAATGGTTTATTTATTATGTTTACCAAAGGAAAACATATTGTTTTTGCTCTGTTTCTTCCTCTTCTTCTTCTCCAAACAGTGACCTCTGACCTGATCAATGACATGATTTGTTGACATCTGTCACCATGGTGACTGGTGTTGTGTTACATAATGTTGCAATTTCACGGTCTGCTCTGCTTCTGTCACCATATACTAGTAGCAGTAGTACATGTATGTGAATGTGTTTGAGTAAGAATTAGTGCAGACCATGTCCAAAGGTAAACATTATGCATTTGCCTTGCAAATGTTACTTCTCTAGTTTCAATAATAAAATCTATAATAAAATCACACGATACATGACATGCCATTGCAGCTACAAAACTGCTGAATTGAGGCATGATTCACAATTAAAAGATTTGTTTTCCATACCATTATGACACATTTATATTTAGACAAGCAAACAAGATTAGACATTCAGTAGCTCGACAAGAAACAGGCATCATGGCATTCCTAATGTTCAAGCATTATCATCATCAAGCATACTGAGGTTAAATGGCTACCGTAGCTTGGTATTGTAAGGCCACACCAATTTAATTTGTTGGTTCTCGGAAACGCCGCTTCAAAAAATCGCAAAATGAAAAAAAAAATTAATTCTTGTTACTCTCATCTCATCTGCCGATTTTTTTGGGGCCCGAACGTCCACCCGGTACGTTCTTATTTTGCACGGTACGTTTATTAATTTTTTGAAAATCAGTAATTTTTTTCGACTACGCGTGAAAAAAATCGGCAAATCTTCGACGTGAAGACGTTTATGAACGCGTTTTGTAGCGAGAAACTTGTCATTTTCCAGCCGGTTTTCGCGATCGCGGCGTGCATAAATTTGTCTGAATGTTCCATTGTCATGGGTGGTGCTCATCAAAATACGAACTCCTCAAAGCTCTAAATTAGAACAAATTCTAACAAACTAAGCAAGTCATTTAATATTTAAGATTTTTAGCTACCGTATTGTATTTGTCGATGTCGATTTACCGCAATAAAATCAAGAAATCGGGTAAAATATTACACAGTCTTCCCCGTAAAAAATGAGACCTTCCGTTAACCCCAAATGAACTCTCCCTCACGCAAGCAGCGACGCCATGTTGGATATTTCTCGGCTTTCTTCTACCACCAGTTTTGGCTCATTTTTACGACAAAATCCCGGCTAATATCGCCCAGAAAATATCTGGAGCCCTATCTGGTCGCTAGAGAAGCATTATTTTCTAATTTTAGTGGATTTTTCCCAAAAGAAAAGTTGTCGTAATCGACGCCAAGTTACGACATTCTGGGATGGTTCGCTGGGATTTTTAGGGGCCATTTTTGAGTAATTGGCACTTCGAAATTTTGTTTACTTTTATGATACGAACGCTAGCAAAAAAAAAATGCTGCCACATCATGCCCATATTCTTTATTACCCGGTACCCGTTGGATTCTCTTGGCCAACATTTGGCAACGTACTCACGGCTGGACTCAGACGGTGGGATTGGCATTTTGGCCGTCTCGGGACCGAAAACATGTGGACGCTGGACGCGTTAGACAGGTAGACGCAATGCAAGATTTCTTAACGCTTGAGTCGATGGGAAAAATTCAAGGGACCAACAAAAAGTGGTCGTAATGGACGAGTGGTCTCTATACAGGGGTGGTCTTTATTACAGGTTTGACTGTATGTATTTCCCAACAACATGACATCATTGACATGTCTACATTTGTACTAGAAATGCTCTCTTTGTTGTCTATTTAAATTCCTAATTGCAAATAACAGTTAAAGATTTGTGCATAACAGTTTCTAGTATATCAGTAACAGCACATTTTAGCATAAGAGACACAGGTTACCCATCAATTTTGGTAATTTTCCGGGGGGTAAATTTATTCCGGGGGGTATTTTTATTGGAGTTTGAAAATTTGTCCGGGGGGTACGTTTATCCCGGGGGGTATGTTTATTCGGCAGATCATTAACATCAATAATTGATCCTTGATACATAGGCTATAAAACAGCAATGTTTTAGCATGTATAGTCATAGCTTTGTTCTCAATCCCTTTTTCCAGCCTTAGCTTTACCATTTGGGCTATTGTTTTTTTTTTTTTTTTCGTCCCTGTC